TAATAAAGTACTAGCGTGACTGCTTAAGGGAAAAAAAAAAAAATAATCAAAAAAAAAAATAACTCTTTTTGCTGATCTTTATGACCAAATTTGAAGTAGAAAGAAAACTATAGAAAACACAAAAACTGTTAAATCAAAGTACAAAAGTTAACTAAGCAAAAAGAAAGCTAATAGAAAATTAGTTATAGTCTGTTAAAATAGTAAAATAGGAGAACAGCAATATAACAGTCTAGAGACAGCCTTTTTAAAATTTTCTTGTCTTTGAAAATTTTTTTTTTAGAAAAAATGAAAAAACACAAAAACCCAGCATTGCAGATTATATATATAATGCGAAAATTAGACAGAATAAACAATAAGTATAATGAAAAATAAACAAACAGACATATAATTATACAGATAAACAAACAAACACAAACTTAAGAAGCAATTATGTGTTTAGTATACCTGTTAAGGTTATAGAATAATACAAAAAAGTGCTATACAGAAGGTTCAATCAATATCTACAGAAACTGGCTAGTATGATAAACTAGAAAAATATCAAAGCTTGTTTAATAAGTTAGACAAAATATAGAAAGAAATATTAAAGAGTTATAAACCAAAAGTTTTAAGAAAAGATGAAGAATTAGCCAAACTTATCTACTAGTCTGTGTATTTAAAAATTTAATAGAGATATATAATTATTGTGAATATGTACAAGCAAGAAACAATAAAAAACTAAGAAAAAGTAATAGTCAGCAAATAAAGAATACAAAGATGAACAAAGAAGTGTTGATAAAACAAGAATATGGCTGTTTAGATTATAGTATTATGGAAAAACAGACAGCTGAACTTAAGTCTAATGAGAAAAAAAAGAAAAAAGATGGTATTAAAGAAGAAAGCATGTAAGTTAAGGATGAAGTAAAGAATATAAAGTTAGATGAAGAGTTAAGCAGAAGTGAAAAAAAGAATAATAAGAAAACAGAAGAAGATAAGAAAGTATTTGAAAGTAGAAACAGGTGCAAAAAAAGAAACAATGTATATGGAAGAACTACTGATAAGATGCAAAAACAGAAATAGAGTAGATAGTATTTATATAATATGGAATATTCCAGCTGAAGTTTATGTAGCATGAGTAAGAAAGTGTCTTTAATTTTATAATAGAATTAGGTTTATAGATTGAAAAAACTATAGAATCAGCAAAGCTGCAATATTTTCAGTTGAATTTAAGAATGAAAAAAGAAAGGCAATACTAGATTAAGCATGATTAGTATATTTTAAAAAGAATAAAACCTATAAATAACTCCTAGTACCTTTGTAAGAAAAGTATTATAGAAAAGAGCATTATATAAAACTATAGTTAGAAATATTCTAATGACAGCAATAGAAGTATTGTTGCTAAGATAACTTAAAGTAGTTAAGACCAAGACAGTTTATATATCAGTAAACAGAAATAAGAACCAGTGGAAAACAGCATTAGTGTATTTTGAAACAGAAAAAGACCTCAGACTTGCTACAGAAAGAGAAGTGTACTATTATAATACAAAATTAGAGTGGAGTATTGCAAAATCCTTCAAGATTAATGAAACAGAAAGAAAAAAAGAGAAAGATATAAAAGAACATTAGTCGAATAAAAATACACAACATAAGAGGTTTGTAAAAGTCAAAGAAGAAGTTAAAAGAAGTAAGACTGACAAAGAAAATTAAAAGAAAGAAGATAAAGTAGATAAAGAAAAATATAGAAACAATACTCAATCAGAAGCAATTATGATTAAAGAGCTAAAAAGTAATTTGCAAGATATTTTTACTAAATTTTAAAAAGATTAGATAAAATAGAAGAAAGTCAATTAAGGAGTATACTTTCAAATCACTTCTGAAAGTTGCTATAGACATTGTTTAGAAAAAGATAACTACTTTGTCAGATAAATTTAACAAAAATGGTAACAGCATAATAGGAATTAAAATAGTGTATTACAATATAAATAGGATAAAAAACAATAAGATCAAGCTTAAGACAATAGTCAAGTGGTCAAAAAAAGAGAAAGTTGAGATTTTAGGATTAGTAGAAATGAACTGTAATAGTAGAGATCTTAAGTTTAGTTTAAAAGATGAATACTTTAAAAGATTATAGACACAAAAGATAGTTATGAAAAAGAAAAACTCAGGTATTGAACTATTAGTAAACTATGAATAGATGAAACATATAGAAGAAGTCTATAGATTTGAAGAGTACTTGGTCAGAGCAAGGTTTTACTTAGTCAAGTAGAAATCATGATAATAGTAGTATATATTCCTCCAAATGACAAAAATATGACCAAGAAATTACAACAAATAATAGTCAAGATGTATATAGAAAAAACATTTAACTCACAGTTTATAGTTATAAGTGATTTTAATCACATAGTTAGTAGCAAGTTAGACAAATTAAGTAGTAGTAGTAGTAGTAACTTTAAGGCTCTTCTATTACACAGGTAGTTGATAAATCAGAAGTTTGGTAATATATATAGAATATGTAATCTAGAGCTAAGAGGTTACATATGGTCAGGACAAGGTATATGAACAAGAATAGACCAAATATAGATTTTAGAAGATCTACAACCAGGTGTAGAGCAAGCTGAAATTATTGATGCAGAGTTTATAACAGCCAGTGACCATTGTATTGCTTGTGCATTATTATTTTTCAAGCATTTAGTTAAGACACAAAGCATAACAAAAATGAAGAAAAAAGATATAACAAGAACAATCTATCTATATAATAAAGCAACAAAAGAAAATTAGAAAGATTATTAAACAGACCTAGAGAATATCTGTTGAAAAATAAGAAGTTTGAGGTACTTGAAGAAGTAGGATATGCTTTTGATATAGATAAAGCTTGAGACATAATATCTAACATAATAAAAGATATGACCAATAAAAATATACTGAAAAAAAAATAATATGAGAAAAGAACAGCATTAAAAAAAAGAAAAAAGCAACAATGCTATATAAAGGAGTTGTGACACTTAGCAAATTACTACAAAAGGTTAAAAAGACAGTGAATAAGAAGAAGGTTAAGCTTAAATTAGTAGAGTTAAACTCAGAAATAGAGAGGTTAAATAGAGAGTACAGTCTAGAAATAAGATATATTAAAGATGATAATGCAGCAAATCTTGTAGTATAGAGTCAGTTGGCAAAGAGGCAGTAGCAAGCACTAAAGTTAGTTGAAAAGGTAAAAGAAGATAAGCATACAAAAGCTGAAATTAATGCTGCAATAAGCAGAAGGTATGAGAAAATTGATAAAGAAGTGAAAAGAATGCTTACTAGTATTTTAAACAAATCTTACAACAAAATCAGAATTAATCAGATATTGAAATATAAAGAAGGGAAATGCATCCTATATAGTAAATCAAGTATAGTATTAGAGCAAACAAAAGAACATTTTAATTTGCAGTTCAAACAGAGAAATGTACTATACAGAAACTTGAATATCTTAATACGCAGTAACTGCATAGTAACGATATGATACTTATATAGTTACTATTAAGTTTAATAGTGACTATACAGTTACTACGCAGTTACTGTGCATTAAGAAATCCAAATTTCAGTAAAGTAGGCTAAATCAAGTTAATAATATTGAAAGTAAATATATAATATTGATATAGTTAACCTACAGATTGACCATCTAATTCAACTGAACCAGAACATTATGTGATACTAAAGTTAATTAGAAGGATTCTGAATTTATATTTTCTATAATATAACAGAATATAAAGAAAAAGAATAAAAAAAGGTACTTAATAAAAGACTATGGAGTTATAAAGTACATGTAAATGAATTGAATATGCTTTAATGATTGTGTTACATAATAATCATGACAATCACCAACAAAAATCATGGCATAATATTACCAAATTAATGGTAAACTTTATCTCGATTATCTCAGCTTCTAGTAATTAAAATTGAGCAAACTTTTTTTTATTTAAAAGCACCATGCCTTCTCTACAAAATAAAAAAAAAAATAACAAGTCTGTAATTGGTTACCAAGATAATTGAGATATATGATGATAAATAAAATTTAACATATTATGGTAGATTATTTGACTTATTTTTGCAACTAGTAATTAGATTTAGTCAAATATTTTTATATTGTAAAGAAAACACATATCTATTATATAAAATAAAAATCATTAATTTTAGATTAATAATCATTGAGAAAATTAGCTTAGAAATTTGACCTATAAAATTTTGTTTTTTTTTAATTTCTTAACTAATTACTGATTAAAATTTGATCAAATTTTTACAGTAAGTAAAGAATAGGTTTCTCTATAAGCTAATAAAATTTCATTAAAATTAAACTGATAATTGTTGAAATATTTACTCAGAAACATAGTCACTTACAGAATTTATCAAAAACCTAAAAGTAAAGTTAAATAACTTGCTAATTATATAAGCATGTAATTTAAAAATGATATAAAATAATCCTCAAGAAGTAAGAATTACTATAGTCAAATCAAGAACATAAGTTAATTAGTAAGTTTTTGAGTTATAAGCTAAGTCCTTAGGTGTGGAAATATTTTTGTCACCCCCTTGTATATAAATTTTTTCTTCATACTGACCCAGCGCGCAAAATTTATTATTAATTTTTAGGCCCGCTCTGGCCCGCAGTTGTAAAATTTTGCTTCAGGCCGGGCTGCGGGACTCAATGCAGATCTCTACTATTTACTCTTCAAATTATCTTATATGCACTACGTACATCAATTGCATATATTTGTTATGAAATTTGGAGGCGAATAACCAATTCCGCAAATCCACCGATATGCAAAACGAAAATTAATGTTGAAGCTTGAAACCGACTTAGTTTTCATATATTAAAACCGACTTAATCTGTTTTAATTAAGTTATAATAACGGAAATCGCATAACGACTATTTATTGATTCATTTCCAAATAAGGATTTAAACCAGAGTAACAGAACTATTAGTATAGTTTGCGTTAAATATAAATAAATTAATCGAGGTATCGTTATTTTACGATATCATTGATTATTCATGAAAAAGAACGCATATATTCTAAATCGTTAATAAATAATCGTGGTAACTGTTGTACTTTGTCATTTTCCAATCTCAAATACCATGACAGGATATCTCGATAATATTTTGGATCACCGTTAGCGAGCTTAATCAAAACTTGTGCAGATTGAACTTGTAATAAAAAAGACACTACGAAAGGTTTAATGTATTGAGTATCCTTATCTATACTTGTGGGAACAGATTAATATAATACTTACCAGGGCTATGTGGATTTAACGCATTCGTCATTCGCCGCCTAATTTCTGCCACACCCTCCTTTTCTGTTTTTTCAGACAACCTTGGGCGGCAAACTGCACCAATAATCTCTAAAGGAATATCTTTTCCTTTTTCATTTTTTACCAATGGCCATAGAATTTTTGAAACGTATCTCGAATGCACATCGTCCCAGCACCACCAACAAGCAGCTAACTCAAAAGACTTTACAAGATTGAAGCGGTATTCCTGAAATTTTTCTGAGAATATGTTATATAAATAGAAAAGCAAATCTTTCAACAATGTGGTATTTGGCCTAACTACCTTGATCATATTCGTTACAGCATTTATTATGAAATTCCTCAGAGTTCAAAATTTCTGATAAATATTGTAAAATCTCTTTCAAGAATGGAGCTTGATGTGGTTCATCCCAAGAGCAAAGTCGAATAAAGGTATCGTAAAGTTTGTAAACCTGGATTTTAACTTGATAAGTACAATATCACGTAAATAGTCAATGCTTAAAATCATATCTACCGATTCATCATGCATCTTCTCAAGAACTATCCCAGCAATAATACTCTCTATAGTACGTATCACAAACGACTCATCTGGACAATAAAAAGTATAGATATGGAAGAATATAAACATATAGGAATGTATCTAACCTGATAACAGTGTGTTTAAAGTATCAAACCTATTTTGAAGGATTCAGGATTCCTATTACTAATTGAAGCCTTCAGAACGTTTGGCCATATTCTAGCAGTATTTTCCATGAAATAATGAACTGAGTCATTATTTGTTTTTTCACGTATAATGTCATAACATAAGATGCGAGCTCGCTGAATATCATTAATAATTCTGCAAAATGCAATGAATATACGATATAGACGGCTGAAGAAAATGTAAATGTAATTAACGTACATATCAGCATAATTGATAGTAGAGGTTTTTTTTCTATTTACCACAAATATGCTAAATCAAGTGACTCTCCCGAAATTCCAGAGACCATAATTTTTTCACTGGCCCAAAGTAACATCTTGTCGACCAATTTGCTCTATAAATTTATAATAATTTTTAGAGAAGTTATAGCGTTTAATATATTATAAAAAAGTTATTGGCATAATTACCGCTGGAAACTCGACAAATAAGAGCCATAAAAATAGTATTACATTTGTTTCTTTTGAAGGTAATACTGCGGGTAGCTGTACGGAAAGAGAATTTACTCGTGCATAAAATTTTAATTGGTCGTTATTATCAATATCGCCTAGATACAAAGGCGTGTCTATGTGATGAAGTAATTCATCAACTGCTTGAAAAAGAACAGGACTTTTCTCGAATACAAATTGGTGAAGTACGTCAATTGACCGAATCGCTTCTTGAGAGGGACATCCAAAATCAAACAATTTTTCTTTTATGACTGTTTATAAATGTTACTACTTATTACGAATAATCATATTAAATCATAAAAGCTTTAATTACTTACAAGTCAAATCATCAATATGACTTAATATTTCGGTTGCTTTCTGTTTAGATTTAAGTTTATTAACGGTTTTTCTCCTTTTTAGTAATTCCACTTTAATATCAGTACTTATATTTGCTGATGATATATCTTCGTCAAGGTTCTTCCTTTTTTTTCCTCGACTTTTTTCTGTGGTTAACTTTGGTTCTACTGTGGACTGATTAATTGATTTCTTTTTTATTTGGTTTGCCTTATTTTGTGTAGGGATCGTTCGATTTATTTCTTTTACCTGCGATATTAAATTTTTGGTATCTGCAACTGTTGAAGGCATTGAACCAATTTTCGTATTGTCGGTAATATGGGACATAGTTACATCATGAATAGATGATTGAAATGGTTGATCTTGCAAGATTGCACTAGATGATTTATTGTACAGCGCCTCTATGGCCTAATTCCAATGCAAGATTTTTCAACAATACTCCATTTCAAAAAGATAAATAATGAAGTAATTAACTTACATTGACGCGTGCAAGTGCGTCTGATTTTCTAGATGTCTGTAGCTGTAAAATCTCTACTTGTTGTGATGTTACGAGGTCTTGTAAAGCTCTCTATAAATAGATATAAGTGCATAAATAATCACTTTGAATGTGAATAACCATGATCGAAAATTACCTTCTGTGTTTCTAATTTTTTTATATCTTCTTTCAATGATCGTATTTCTTTTACCAACAAAATAATATGTTGACTAGTATTATTATCTTCTTCATGTACGACTTTGCCAGGCATGTCATTTTCACCATATGTGTTTGACATTTGTTTGTGAGCTTCTTGTAGTTTATTTTGAAGATCAAGATTTTTACGTTTCAACTCTTCAATACTGGCGTTTTGCCTCTTGAGCTTGCACAACGCTTTAGAATGCTGACTACACTCTTGCTGTTTTTTTATATTTTCATCATGAGAGGCTTGTATTTGAATTTTGAGCTCATTAATATCCTTCACCAGTTTATCTGCATTTGTTGCTTGGTGATTTAAATCTTCTAATTGTTGATTTAAAGACTCGATAATTGTGTCTTTTTCATTTTTTTCGTCTCTTAGTGTATTTGTTTCAGATTTATATTCGAGCAATAATTCATTTAAATTATCAACTTCTTTTTGAAGTCTTTTAACCTTTGCATCTAATATTTCTTTGGCAGATTGGTTTTTTTTGAATAATTCGTCTCTGCATTATTAACAAAAAAAATTTAGCTTATCAGAACAAAAGGAAAAAAACTCAATGTATCAACCCTCAAAATTTTTTTAAGATATTTCAAAGGTCACCTAGAAATAGTGCAATACTAGGGGCCCGACGGAGTATAGTGGTTGTGCAATACTAGCACCGCAAGATAAACTGAATATCAATTACTTTATAAATAGTATAAATTTGCCATTGAAATATATAGTAATATGTCAATTATATCGTTTTTTTTTCCTGCAATCTTTGATTCATGCTATTCCATTCTAGTTAAAAAGATTAGTATCTACAAGGAATTTATGAGAAGCTTACTTCTTTTCGAGTTCTTTTTTCAATCGAGAAATTTCTTTTTTTTGATTTTCTCGTATATCGTTTGTAGCATCACTTTCTTGTACTTTAAATTCCAATTGGTCCTTTAAAACCTAAAAATTAAGTAGTAATCTTTTATATCTATATAGTTAATTCAGACTTACTGTGCAAAACCAACTAATTCTTACCTCAAGTGATTTTACTCGTTTTCCTAATTTGTCATTTTCGGATCGAAGTCGTTTAATTTCAACCGTCATTGCAGATTGATCTTTTAACTTGGCATCTTTTTGATCCAAATCCTGCTTTAAATTTTCAGCTTCAGTGCGAAATTGCTGGGCGGCTTTACGAAAAACTTCAATTTCCTTGTTTAATAACGCTAGCTGCGTTTTTGATTTTGTTTGATTTAGTTCTAGCCATGCAATACTTTCTTTATGTTGAGCAAGTTCTGAGGTAATAATGTTTAAGAAAAAAAGTCAAACAGACACGTAAAATGACTTGCAAGTACTAGACATGAAAAAGCTATAACCTTTTTCTTTTGTTTTAAAAAGGTTTAGTAATTGATTGGTTTGAATGATCCGTTCTTTAAGCTTTTTAATATTTTCTGATGATTTGAGTTTTGTAGGCTTGTTCGAATTGCATGTAGGTTGTTTTTCTTCATCGAGCGCTTCCATTACGAGTGAACCTTTCGAAGAAACACGTCTAAAGCTAGTAGATTAGATTAGTCATGGCGCAAAAATTGCAATATCACGTGATGGGGTAAAATCACCACCCTAAAAAGTTTCAAGACCAATCAAATCTCAAGATCAGGTGTAACGTAACATAACACGAATAGAAAAATTCAAAACAAACGTTCGTTTTGTCAAAAAACGCTTATCCCTTTTACCGTAGACTTTTGCAGGCAAATTTGCCTGCAAAAATTTATCCAATAATCATACATATTTACCTCCGCTAAAATCATATGCATTAATAATCTAACCGAGTCATAAATTGTTGTCGGATGTGCTGTTTAGAATTTGCCGGATATCAAAATATCAGAATTTTAAACTGTAGTATTAAATATATTAGCCATTAGCCAATCAGAGGAATCTTAAATGAAATAGCCAGAACTTAGCCTCTCATAGCCAAAGCTCTTTGGATTAATAGCAAACGTATCCTATATATTTTCATTTGACCTTAAAAAACATATATGTTAATACTGTATTGATTTTTTTAGGCATTATTTTTCGAAAAAAAATATATTCTATACAAAAATATCAAAGTATTTTAGTTAGTATATTGGTATTATTTATAGCATTCATTATGCAAGAATTACATACATTCATAATATATTTGTTATATACAATGCTTCTTTAAATCAAACCTTCAATATGCTAACTTATTTGCTATTTTAGGATAATAATGTGTATAACTGAGAATTCAAGACTAATCATAAAAAAACATGTTACTTCGATTTTAAGCACTTTATCTGAATTACAAATTGTACAAACTAAAAACTATACTTACAATTATTTATTATTATAAACAAATCTATAATCTTGTAATTCTTACTATGCAACTATTTATTGTTATGATGTAAATAATTTGTATAAATAATCCATAGCAAGTTTAATGATTCAGAAATACTAATCTTACAAATGAGTTTTTATTCTATCTATAATGTATTTTATTGAAAAAAAAGTATATATTCTAAAAACTTTCTTATAAAAATCATTTACCAAATGTATGAAACTCGTAATTACAAAATGATCTTGTTTTGTTGCAGCATAGTAGAATATTGCATTCATGGCATTACATATTTGTTTGCAAAGGGTTCTTACTATTAATTTTCTTTTGTTTTTCCTTTGCAAAATAGTAACATCAAATACATGTCTCTTATTTATTCTTCTACTCTAAAAAATACTTAACAGACAATTGTTAACATGTTAGAAGTTCGAAGTTTTTACTAATATAAGCAACATTAACATTTGAAACAGAAGAATTAGTAATTGAATATTGTGAATTTTTTATATTAGAAACTTGACTTATTGAAACTTGTATAAGTTCTCAAACAAGATATATATAAAATTCTTTACTATCTAGTAGATTTTGTGTATTATTACTATTAGAATTTGTATAAATAATATAGACATTAACAATTAATATATCAAGTAGCCAAAAAAATAGTAGAAACCAATTCCAATGTGTTCTAAGTTGAGAAAGAAAATATGAATATTATTGATCAGCAATATCAACACCTCCCATATAGTAATTATAATCATTAACAAGTTTTGAAATTGATAACTGCTTTCATGAAAAACTACCAAAAATTTTTCTAATCTTTTTAGCATTTAAACTAGTTTTCTGTAAACATCAACACTAGCAATTAACTCGAGATTCACTTTCAGTAATATTATGAACTGTACTTAACATTGTTACTGGTCTATTGTCAATCTAAAGAACTGCAAGTACATTATTTACAACTACACCTAAAAGTGTATCCTATTCAAAAGATTTTAAATTCTGAATTTTTAATTCTTTTAAAACTTAGCAGAGTTTGTGCAAACTGTTTTACATGTACCAATTCTATTATTCTGTAAATGTTAGAATAATAGAATTAATGTAAAGAAATTATTCATATATATTGTAAAAGCATATGATTGAAGTGGAAGTTGAAATACTAAGTAGCAAACATGTCAACCTATTTTATTAATACCTTGAACAGTAGATAGGTTTGTTGCCTTTTCAACATGTGATAAAAAAGAAAATATCTATGTATATCCTGAATCATATAATGATAGAATCTTATAACATTCGAAGGTAGGTTTAGATTTCATATGGACTATATGTACACTTCTTCCAATAAAACAGGCAATCATCTTAGTTACAAATATATTTGAACTTGGCATGTATGCTTTTTTACATGTATCTTGAATAGATAAAGCAAGAGGTTTAACTTTTGAATACCAATATAGATGTGAACCAGTTGGATCTAATATGTGTAAAAAATGTTTTATTTGTTTAAATCGATTTATTGACATTAAATTTAAAATATAATGTGTAGGGTATTGATTATTTTTAATCCAGAGAGATTCAAGTGATGATATTTTATGTATGCCTATATAAATAACAATGTTAATCCAAATTCACAATAATAATAGTAATCCAAATTCACAATTCATTAATATTAAGTACATTTTATATCCATTCTTTATCTTTTGAATTTTGAATAGCACTGTATTTATTTGTTAATTTTACTATTTGTCTAAGAGATTCAATTAAAAAAAATTCATAAAATAACATTAAAGAGGTTACTATTCTAAGCTGCTATAAATAGCCAAGAAAAATTAGATATTCTCTTTTATGAAAAGAAAATCTGTGCTATAAAAAAATAAACTCTAATAGGTTTGGTAAACTAATTTGTTGACTAGATCTACCATCATAATTAGCTCTTAATCTGCATGATCATCCTCTGCTTTGTCTTCGATTTCTAACAGTATTAACTGCTAGTATCACAGATGAATTATTTTAAAGATCTGATTTCTCATTGTTTTCTTGAGCTGAATATTCAGATTTACTGAAAAGCTATCTATCAAATGTTCATTATGATGGTTTTGTAAAAAATACACTTCAAGCTCATCTTCACTAAATTAAGAGTCACTATCACTTATTTCTTGTTCATAATTATACATAGTATTACAATCACGTTTTGTAATTTTGTTTAATTTGATCTGAAATATTAATTTCTTATTTTTTTTCCACTTATATATGATTAATTGTTTAGAATTTATCTTATGTTCACTGGAGATAAAATTCATTATAATATATTTATAAAAAATCTTATTTCAAAACTCTCTCTCTCTCCATCTACATTCGGTAGTGGAGAAAAAAATTAACAAAAACTATTAAACCTTTATTGGAAAAATTTACTAAAAACAACACAAGGGCTAAA